AGACAGAAATATGGAGGCCCTGGCCCCCACAATCCCCAACCCTGGGGCCTTTCTGCAGGTGGCCAGGTTAGGGTCTGCAGGGCCACAGAGAGGCTCAGGGGTGGGGGGAGGTGGCGACTCCTGCCCTGCATGGGGGAGGCTCCTCTGGGATGGCAGACTGCCGGGCCTCGCCTCCAGCTTTGGGCTCCCAGTTCTCTTCCCCCGCAGCCTCCTCAGAGACCTGCCTCTCTAGCACCCCCTGCACCCCACAAGCAGCTCTAGGGAGGGACCCCCCTTGGCGGCCTGCACCTTCCCTGCCTGAGCTCAAAAGCTGAAGGGGCTGCAGCTGGGGAGGCTGCCTGGGGACGGTACGAGGAAGCCCAGGGCAGGCAGTGATGCTCCAGAAGGAAGCAGAGTGAGCGGGGAGGATCTTGGGCAAAGCCTTCTGGCATACTTGAGCCAGCCCTCCCCTGACGGCTGCACAAGGGTAGGGCCAGGAGGGGTTTGTGCAGGACAGGAGGGCAGGGCCGTGCAGCAGCCGGGCCAGGCAGGGTCAGGGCAGTGGGCAATGGAGGTGGACGTTCAAGTGATTGGGTCTTCAGCCTCAGCACGAGGATTCAAAATACAATTTCCCACTCAGAGAAACCAAGGTTTGCTGGAGAAATGGCCAATTCCACGTCTAGGGCAGCCTTTGTGGTAAGCTGAAAAACAGCCAAATGTAACCTTACTGTGCAAAAGCATCTTGCAGATAGAACTAAGGCTCTTGTGATGAGGAGATCACCCTGGATAACCCGGGAGGGCCCTAAACACCTCACAAGCGTCTTCATAAGAGAGAGGCAGAGGGAGACTGACACACAGAGAAGTCACGTAAAGAAGACAGCAGAGACACGCAGCCACCAGCCCGGGGATCCTGGTGGCCACCTGCCTCTGGAAAAGCTATAGAAGACCCTCCCAGAGCCTCTAGAGGGCGCCTGTCCCTGCTCACACCTGGATCTCAGACTCCTGGCTTCCAGAACTTGAGAGCACATTTCTATTGTTTCTTAAAACAAGTCACCATGTTTGTGGTAATCTGTCACAGCAGACACAGGATGTTAACAGTCTGGGCATCTTGTTACACCAGATGGCAAGACATCCCTGAGACGGTGTCAGAAGGACCCAGGAGCCCACCTGCAAGCCCCTCCCCAACCCTGACTGAGCACCAGAAAGATATCAGTTCACTGAGGTGAAGCACAAGTAGCTAAAATCTCTGCGTTCTTGATACAGAAGCAGACAACTTGATCGCATTTGAAGGATGCTGGGGAGCCAGCTCTTGCAAATTGGTAAGTTGAGAGAAAGACAAGAGCATTTATTTGCCTCTCCTGCATGAACAGTATCCAAACTGCACTGGCGGAATCACTCTTTGCCGCCCGCCAGGTTCTACCAGGGAAGCGGCTGTTCTTACGCCAACGGGGAAGGACACCCTTAGACTACCCTGAGGCCACACACACACACATGCACACACACGCACATACAGACACACACACTCCCCAGTTGTACCTCCTACTAAAGCCAGCTTCCGTCCCCAACAAGCCAAACCTGAAACTGAGTAAGCCTCTGAATTCTTTTACTAATTAGCAGGAAATACAGAGAAAACACTGCTGGGTACTGAGGGGCTGCAATCCGTGAACTCCCACAGGAAACTCCCAGACCAACAACCCACTTTCTTCAGAGATAAACGCTGGGATGGCAGTGGCTGGCGCTCCCTGCAGTGCTGAGGGTTACTCCTGGGGGATGAAGCCACAGGGAGGAGGTGACTGTCCAGCCAAGGTGAGGCCACACCTTGGGGCACCCAGAAAACCAGCCTGGGGGGCTCTTCAGGATTGTGTGTTCATTTTATGTTTCTGTAGTGTGTTCTTCTAGCTCACGGATGTTGTGTTTTGTTTAAGGAGACCAAGCCCAGAGGGCTCAGGGACGGTTTCAAGAATGTGGAGGTGAGCAAGGTGACCCCAGGTTCTGATGCCAGAGCTCAGAGGACTAGTGAGATGCTTATGGTGGCAGCAAAAGCAGGACGTGTGTCCAAGAGGCCGCACACGGACTGAGTGTCCGCCTCAGTGAGGCTCCGACTCACAGGCTGCCTCAAGGTCTTTATTGCCACCAGGTCAGGGAGTGCAGCCCGTAAGTGGGCACAGTGGGGGCCCCTGGAAAGGCCAGGCAGGCCATCACTGTGCCCAACGGGGGCCGTCATCAGACGCCCGGCCAGGCCTGCACAGGGTGGGCAGGCCGGTCACCAGCGCAGGACGCCAGGGCAGTACTTATCGATGAGCCCCTGGTAGTAGGGCCGGAGATCATCCACGTCAGGCAGGTCATGGCACTTGGTGTAGAGATCGAACTTGCTGCATTGGGGGAGGTGTGGTGCCTCGTGAAACCCCTCCATGCCCCCCTCTTGTCCCCGTCCCCCGTTCCCTCCCCCCCATCCCCCACAGGTACAGCCCTACTTGAACTCCCGCACCCAGGGCAGCATGGCCAGGTCCCGCGCACTGCACAGCTGCCGGTAGTCGCCACCCGTGTGCCACGGGTAGAAGGAGTGGAATCTGATCATGTAGAAGGCCTGGGGCAAGAGGAAACCACACCCCACACGTTCCAGGTGGGCCGGGCCGGGCTGGGCTGGACTGAGCCAGGCTGAGCCAGACCATACTGGGCAGGGTTGAGCTGGTCTGGGCTGGGCCAGGCTGAGCTGGACTGAACTGGGCTGGGCTGGGCCAGACTAGGCTGAGCTGGACTAGACTGGGCTAGGCTAGACTGAACTGGGCTGGATGGGACTGGGGTGGACCAGGCTGGGCTGGGCTCTTGGTTTGGTTCCTCCCTACCACCTACCTCTGGTGGGAGGGAGAATTTGTTGAACTTCATCATCTGGTACATGTACTCTGTGAGAAAGAGGGTGTCACCACCAGGCACCTAGAGAGGTGGTCCCCAACCATGGTCCCACCCCACTCACTAAATGGCCTCACCGTCATGGCCCCACGACATGAGGACATTCTCGAGCCCACAGTGGGGCTGGTACATGCCAAGCTCCGTGCTGCAGGGAGAGATGGAGGGTGAGGGGGGCTCAGGAGCTCACTGGGGAGAGGGAGGACCAACAGCAAGGGAGGCACACCTGTACAGAGGATCCTGGAGGTCAGGGTTATCCTGGAAGGTGGAGTCACAGAAAACCACAGAGGCCTGGGGACGGCAGCCAACTGGGAAGGTATCTCCAACAACTGCCCACTGGGGAGGACAGGCAGCCGTGGGTGGGCGTGACTGACTGCCCACCAAGTGGATATCCAGAGCCCATAGCTGAGACTGCCCTGAGCCCCACCCTGCTGAACCCACTCCCCAGCCTCTCCTCACCTGGGGCTCCCCTGCCAGAGCCAGGACCTTCCCTAGGTCGTGCAGGAGCCCAACGAGGTGGAACCAGTCTGGGAGAGAGAGGAACAGGGCAGGCTGGCGGGCGGGGTGAGTGGGGCCTACCGGGAAAGGGACAGACCCCTACTTGACCCCGTCCCCACAGCTGGGGCAGGTGGGGAGCACACCCTTGTCAGGATGGGCCTTCCGGATGCCTTCAGCCGTCTGAAAGGCGTGGAAGGAGTTAGGGAAGTCCACGTCGGGGTCCGACTCATCCACCAGCCCATCCAGCATGTCCACAGCCTCCATGACGGTCATTTTCTTATAGGAGAAGCCCCCAAACTGGGCATGCTGGCCAGGAAGAGAAGGTCAGTGTGGCCGCAGGGTTGGCACTGGGAGAATTAGGGCTAGGAGCCCACCAGCTACCTTCTTCCTGACGAAGTCCACAGTCTGCCGTGTGTGCATAAGCTTGTAGGTGGCGAAGACACGGTCCAGGAGCGGGCCAGACTGCAAGCCGGACAGTCAGCCAGGCAGCTCGCCAACGCCTGCCCTTCACACCCAGGGAGCTGCTATCTCCTCTCTCCCAGGCTGGGCCCCAAGGTGCACACAGGGCCTCCCCAAGGGTGGCCCCTGGAGCTGTGTGAGGGGACAGGTGCTACTCTCCCCAGGAGTTGGGGGACAGGGTCCTACCGTATAGTTTCGGAAGCTGCCCTTGTCTTTGGCCACATCTGGGTCCATATCAGGCCGGTAGACCAGGGAAGGGTCTGGGCCCTGGTTGGGTGGGGGATTGAACCTATTACACCGTGATGCCAGCTCCAAGAGGGAGTGAGGCCATCCCCCGGGGCACAGGACTCTGCGATGTGGATGCAGCCAGGTGAGACGCCCCAGGGCACAGCCCCTCCCCAGCACAGGCACAGGGGCCTTGGACGGCCTCCCGCTCCTGGCGCCATACTCTGCAGAGCAGGTGTGCGGGATACCCACTTCCCAGTGACGTACGGGGATGCTGCGCGGGAGCACCGCACCCCACCCGGCATCTCCTCCTGGAGACCTGGGTCCACGCGGAGCCCAGGGGTTAGGCTGGTGACCCTTGCCCCAGCTAGACCATGGCAGGAAGGGGGAGACCTTTGGCCCAGGCGAACGTGCTGGCGGGAGCCCTCGGGAGGGGCGTGGTGCAGCCCCGCTCCACAGGGAGTGGTCCCCGGGCAGCTCCTGTGTGGGTCCGGTACTCACCACAGCCACCTTCATCCTGGGACAGGGCAGAGCTGGTGAGTGGGCAGGACTTCCACAGGCTCGCGTGCCCCTATATATGCCCACAGGTTACATAAGTGACCGGACACCACCCAGCCCCTTGGCCTTGGCCCTTGGTAATGAGTGACCATCCACCCTCCTCCTGGCTCAGCGAGTTAATGTGTCAGTGTAGGGGCAGCCCCAGTGGCCAAGCCCCCCTCCCTGACCTCAGCCTCTGGACAACTGACCTGACTGGGAGGTCGAGGCCGCCCTGTAGCCAGACTCCCACTCTTGCCCCGTAAGCTTTAAACCGCTCCATGCCCGCAGTGGGCCCCTCCATAGGTGGTGCGGACCCCAGGCCCACCCTATCACCCACAGCACCTGGGATGCGGGTCTGAGCGGGGCTTGTTTCAGGAAAATCATTCTGACACTTGTTAAAATGGGACGGAAGACTATATTCAAGACTAGCTGGAGGGGAGAGGTCAGGCTCCACTCTGAACACGGCAAAGACAGCTGGGGATTTACAGGCACCGAGCAAGGCGCAGGGGTGGGGTGTCAGGACGGAGAATTGATAGAGGAGACATCCAGCGTAGGGACTCTTGTTAAGCCAACCTGGCAGGATTCTGCCCGAAGGCAGCCCAGGTGGTGAGATCAAGGGTGGGGTCCCACTTGTCTGGGGCAGGACTCAGGAGCAGCAGGCTCAGAGGAGGCCGCCTGAAGTCTGGTCGGCGGGTGGGAGTGGTCTTTGTTGGGCTCCTGGAGTGAGGGCAGAGGTGAATGCATAGCAGGGTCAGGAGCAGCCAGGTCAGGGCAGTGGGGAAGCGGCAGGGACCACACTGACGACGTGCCTGCCTGGAGCTGAAGCTCTCGTCTCACTGGGAAGAGGCCTGGGCTCCAGGGAAAGGCTGGGGTGGGAGAGGGCAGTGGGCAAGGGGCGAGGTGTTGGGTTCCCCACAAGGCTCCTCCTGCCTGCACTGAGAATAACTGGTGGCGGGAGGGGGGGGTGCTGGGGTCCCCCACTTGAGATGGCCAAGGGCTCCTGGCCCCTGTGAGCCCATAGCACCAGCTGCTTCCCACGTGTTGTGCACCCCTTATTCACTGTACTCTGAGGTTGGTTTCCTTTTGCCCCCCCCACTGGAATGTCAGCCCCTGGGGTGGGGAGGGATGTATTTCATTCAGTGTTATGCCTCTGATGTTGCTGCAGGGATGGAGCGGGGTCTCTAGGGAGCAGGCAGGAACCATCACCCCAAAGCAAGTGGTGGCTTGGACCAAGAGGAGGAGCGAACAGCCGGCTCACAGGATCCAGATGCGAGAGATGGGGTGAGGAGGAAGAGGAGGTTCTGGCAGGAGCAGGAACAATGGGAGGGTACGGGGTGGGGGAGGAGTTGGGGGGCTGCCACCAGACCTGCAAGTGGGGTGTGAGGTGGGCAGCTTGGACTCAGCCTGGAGCTCAGGGATTATGTGGACACCAGGTGCAGTGCTGTGACCATGGCAGGTGACTGTAAGGAAAGATGGCCCAAGGCTCAGGGAGCATCTCAGCGAGGGGACCGGGCAGTGCAGTCCTGGGTCCGGCAGCCTGTGCTGCCACGTGGAGAGTGCCTGCCGTGCGGAGCAGTGTTCCTGGCAGAGGGAGCATCCTGTGTGGAGGACCAGACCTCAGAGGACTTTGCCCCGGGGCCGGAGTCTGGGAGGGTCTTGGCAGAGCTGAGCTCCGACTCTCCTGGAGCCCTCCTCCTCCTTGGTCCCCAGTCTCCCTTGCCCTGCTCATTGCCTACCCTCCCTGCCTGCCTCTACTGACATCCCTCACACAGGCACATGGCTTGAAGGCCCAGCCTGCTGGCCTCTCTAGCCCCTACTAACACATGCCCGTTCCAGCTCCCCAGGTACACACATACCTCCTGTGCACTCAGGACCTGGGCACTCTCAGTGCCTTCCCCTGGGGACCCCTGCAGTCCTCAGTTCAACTCCCTGTGCACGGAGGCCTCCAATAGGGCAGGGACCAGCCTGAACAGCTCCCACGGGGCCTAGTGGAGGGGAGATGCCTTTACCTGGCCAGCTGATCCCTGAGCTGGAAGAGCAAATACAAGGGTGGACGCCCGGATGGGTGCTTCCAGGAGCCTCCCCCCCTGGGGGGCTTCGGGGGTCTGAGGGGCAGGCCTGCTAGTGGTCCAGAGCGTGGGCTCTGTGGGTGGGCACGGTAGTGACCATAGGCACAGCCCTGACCTCTGTGGCTGCAGCATCTGCCTCCAGAGTTGGAGTAAGGACAGTGCCCTCCGCACAGGGCGGCTGAGAGGCCGACTCATTCAGTGCTGCATGAATGTTGGTTAAATAATCACCTCTCTGCACCTGGGCCAGGCCCATGCGGTGTGGGGTGCCAGTACTGCAGGACCAGCAGAGGCTCGGGTATCACCGCACAGAAAAGCCTCCCCTAGGGCAGACACACCCTGAGAACTCTGCCTACTGGCTGTGGACTGTTGGTTGCCCATCCTTCTGATGGTTTGAGGCCAGTCCCCACTGCACAGGCTCCTGGCAAACCTGCTTAGTCTTCTGCTCTGTCGTTCCCACACCTGGTCCCACGGAGTCCCACGCAGGGCAGGATGGGGCTCAGGGAGCCTGTGGAGCCTCCACCCCCTCGAGGTGGTGATGGACCTGATTTAACTGACCTACTTGGGCTGGGAGATTTCCCCCCTACCCCAGCCCTGCCTTGGCCCAGAACACCTCTTGAACCCCACAGGGGACCCAGGCAGGGGTCACCATTGTGACCTTGGACCCAGAGGGAGCAGGGCAGCTCAGCTTTAACCCTTTGATGTTAGGACCAGCAGTGAAGAGGCCATGCCAGGCCAACTCACCCCTTCTCTCCTGCTTCCCCGGACATGCCCCCAGGGGTTCAAGCCCCAGGCTTGTGCTCTACATCCTTGCACAGACACCTCCCCTCTCAAGCCCTTTTTGGCTTCTAATGCTGCTGGCTGCCTCTGCTTGGCCCTGTCCCCTGAGTGTTATACCCCAAGGGTCCAGACCCCCTGGGTATGCAGACTGCCTAGGTCCACACATGTGCATGGGTTTCTGTGTCCAGAGCCATTCAAGGTTGCCTGTTGCAGAACCTGGTAGATGTGGGGTGGGGTGGGATGGGGGTGTCCTCAGGGACCTGCCTGTACAATGTTCTAGTTACTGCTGTTTGCAGGTGCTCTGAGGGCTGGTTCTGGGCTGGGGGCTGAGCTGCAGTTCTGGGATTGGGTGCAGCATCCCAGCCGGGGCAGGCCGGGGTATGGCCTGCCCCACCTCAGCCATAGCTGTGGGGACTGCTAGGGTCCACAGGGGGGGAGTCCTGCAGGCCAGCAGACCTGACAAGCTGCCACAGGCGGTGACTGAGATTCTGCACTTGGCAGGTGCCCAGCACACAGCCCACACGCAGGAGCTGGGCTCGGGGCCTGTGGGCACCCAAGTGTCGGCGAGGGCCATTCCGGAGAGCTTGACCCATAGCAGGGGCCAGGCTGGCACTCTTCTGTGGCTGGAGGGCCCGGTGCAACTTCCAGACCACAGGCCGGGTTCCAGGGTAACGGGGCTGCAAGCCACTGGAAGAAGTCCGGGCTGGGGGCTCCCTGCAGAGGGAGATGAAGGAAGTAAACCTGATGGCCCAGCCTTTCACAGGCCCATAAATCCACCCACTTTTCCTCCCACACAGGCCTGGGGTCACTGGTAGGGGAAACCCACATCTTCCCCAACAGCCTGGAGCAGCGCCAGGGGAAGCCCACAGCCCCCACATTACTCAGCAGGCCAGGGGGAGCCCACTGAGCTCAGGACCTGCGGCCTAGGTCACATGTCCATTCACCTCTGCCTCCCTGGGCAAGGGGCAGCTCTGGCCTCAGTAGGTCCTTATGCTCAGGACTCAAGTGACTTCCCTCAGTCCTGTGGGGTGGTGGGAGATGGGCAGGCCTGGGGACCCCTCCAGCCTCCCCTCCCATAGCTGACCTTTTCTTTTGAGGGGGCTACTCTGAGTAGGGGAGTGGGCATGCCTCAGGAGGGGAGGCAAAGAAAGAGGAGCCTCTGGCCCTGCTCATGGGTTGCTTAAGGCATGGGGGCTGGCCCTGGGTTTAGAGGGGTAAGCCCTAGCAGCAGGTGGTGAGTTTCCCCAAGAAGGGGCTGGGGGGACTGGGGAGAGGGAGGGTTTCCTGCCACGTGGACCAGGGGTCAGGCTGATCTGAGCCCGGCTCACCTGGGTCGCGCCGGCAGCCAGCTCCCGCCCAGGCCGAGGGACAGTGTGCCTGGGAACTGCAGGTAGAGGAAGCTGATGCAACCGAGGGTGACCGTCAGGTGCCAGGCCATGGTGGGCGGGGTTGCGGGAGGCAGTGAGCTGGGCAGGTGTCGGGGCGCCCTAGGCTGAGCCACCTCCTCCTAGGGGCGACCTCAGCGCTCGGGCGTGCGGGCTGGAGCCTGGTTCGTTGGCGAGGGTCTCGGGTGCGAATTCGGCGGGCGTGTCTCTTACTGGTGGAGCGGGGACTTCCTCATCGGCTGTCCGTCGGGGTCCTGCTGGGGC